CCGGAAGCTTCGCAACCGCGCGACGCACAGACTACAGGCGGGAGTGGGTGGGGTGGAAGCGTGACCGTTCCCCGGACCAGGCAGGAATGAAATTGGACCCGTGTCTTAGCCGACAAACGCTGTGCAGCCGGACCGGCAGCGGCCTCCCCCGCGACCGCGCATCCCACCTCCCTGACGTCCCGGGGCCCAGTTTTTCTGGGTCGTCGTAATCAGCATACCCCCCAACTTTCCGATTCTGGGCCCCTACCTTGTAAAACCTGGGGTGGTAAAGATCTGCAAATTCTCATCCAAGCAATTGGCTAGGCTCAGCTACTACACAAGGCACAACATTCCACACGCCAAACCCAAGGAACCTCGTCTTCATACTGGTCAGGGCTCCCCCTCAAGGCTGAGTGTTGCTTATTCCTCCCTCCCACCTTTGAGCGACACACTAGATAAAGGGTTGCTTCCGGTAGGGTGGGGACTAGCAATAGTAAGCTTTAATCAAGACCAAGGACATTGGGTACCTGAGGGGGCAATCAGCTAAGAGGGAAAAAGGACCAACAGGGTCCAGCATTACAGCACATTCCCTTATCAGTGTCCCAGAAAAATGGCAAGGACCACAAAGAAGGAAGCCATAACTGTATAAACTATTTATTAACAGACAACGCCCACAAATTTATTTCTTCTTGGACACACCCACAGTGCGGCCTCGGCGGCCTGTGGTCTTGGTGTGCTGGCCTCGGACACGAAGTCTGCAGGTGAGAAAACAGAGGGGTCACAGGTCATTCACCACACAAAACAAAGATGTAGGAGCAGAGGGAGCATGAGAATTCTCTGGGAGTCCAGGGGCAGGAAGAGATGAGGCCCACCCCCACTCACCCCCAAAAGTGGCGCAGCCCCCTGTGGGCGCGAATCTTCTTCAGCCGCTCCAGGTCTTCACGGAGCTTGTTGTCCAGACCGTTGGCCAGGACCTGGTTTCAGAGACAGTGAGGAATGCTTGTTTCATCCTCTGGCCTATGACCAATTCTAAATGGACACCTTGCCTTACTTTTCTCTAATCTCCATCTCAGTACACACCTGGCTGTACTTCCCATCCTTTACGTCCTTCTGCCTGTTTAAGAACCAGTCTGGGATCTTGTACTGGCGTGGATTCTGCATAATGGTGATCACACGTTCCACCTGGCAGGCAGGACAAGGGTCAGGTCCAGATGGTTCCCCCCTCCAAGGTGGGCACAACTCACAGCCCCCCTTCCTTGTCCTTACCTCATCCTCAGTGAGCTCTCCTGCCCTCTTGGTAAGGTCGATGTCTGCTTTCCTCAACACCACATGAGCATATCTTCGCCCCACACCCTGAGGAGAGGTTTCAGAATTGGAGGAGTCTTATTTTTTGTTTCCTCTCTAGACCCACTATTCAAAAACACACAAAGGTAGGGCCCAAAATAACCTAGTGCCTTAAACTTTCCCTGATACAAAGCTAAAAATTAAACGAAAAAGAATTTTGTTCAGGAGCAGGGCTGGACCAAGAACAGACAACTTAGGGCAGACATCCCTTGAAAACACTATATATATACCATCCAGCATATGCAGCTGTCAATAAATGCTGTTAGACAACGCAGCAACACCAAGAGTGGCACCTCCTGATTTCTGCATCGTGGATGAAGCTGATGCCTTTCAAAGTTGATGCAGCACCAGAGCTGTAAGACTAGGGTGTTCTGAATTAATAGGGTTGATCAAAGGTTAGGACTGTCAGTTGCTCAGTGTCTAAGTCAAAGGGCCACAGGCCATGTATGATCTTTTGGGCTGGTCACTGCATCCCTTTGATCAAAATAAACCAATGCTTAAACCAGTGGCATCATATCACCTACACTGGTACTCCTTGCCACTTGAACTCACAAGCCAAATAGATCTGGATAGTGAAGGATGGGGTGCTGGGTTGAATAGCATTCCACCAAATTTACAACCACCTGGAACCTCAACATGTGACTTTATTTGGAAACAGGATCTTTGCAAATATAGTTAGTTAAAATGAGATCATACTGGATTAGGGTGGGCCTTACAAAAGGATTCTTACAAAAGGATTGGACAGAGATGAGAGAAGGCTATGTGATAAGAGGCAGGACAAGAGTGATGCAGCTATAAGATAAACAAACCAAGGACTGTTGTCAACGAGATGATAGGAGAGGCAAGGTAGGATTCCTAGAGCCTTCAGAGGGAGAATGGTCCTGCTAACACCTCAATTTTAGATGTCTGGCATGCAGGACCAAGGGATTAAGTTTCTGTCGTTTTAAGCCATCAAGTCTGTTACAAGAGTCCCAGGAAACTAAAATAGATGTTATTTCTTCTCTGTAAGAAAGTGACCCAGAAGTCAAATTACCAGGAGACTGATCCATAAGAGATTAGGGGCTAAGTCTCTCTCAAATTTAAGTATTTACAGAAGAAATATTACATCTGAAGATTTACTTCAAAATACAGGTGGATAGGGAAGGGTATAGATGAAACAACTTTCCATAAACAAGTTTTTAAAAAGTTACTATCAAGCAAAGATTTTTGAAAGCCCTACTTAAGTACTGGCTTGCCAACGCTCTTAGTCCACCAAATCCCCTTTACTGTCCCCAAGCAGACCATGTTTACTCTCTCCATCCAGAAGAGTATACTACAGGAAACCATCACTTTCTCATCTTTGTAATCCAAGGGCCTGGCCCATGTAGAAGAGTTGATACCAAGTTAGCATTACTTTCCGAAAGCATTTAGAGCACTTACTCGTGGGGGCACTGGCATTTTGGCAGGACAAGAGCTCCTTATAAAGAAGGCCAATGGGTACCTCCCGGTCATTGTGAACTCCAACCCCTCCCGTGTTTCCAAATAATCCACAAATGGCAGTTATCATCCTCATTTAGAGGAAGGGCAGAATAGCCAGCCTGAAGGAATAGTTATAAAAAAAGTCTACAAATGGAAGCAAATCAAAGGATCACGGCATAGAATAATCTTGCAGATGTAGATTACTTCTCAATAAATATCCTTTTCTGCTTGTGTCAACTTCAATACCCCACCTTTCCCTGGCCAATTAACCTTGCTTTACACCACTCCTTTAACTACGTTTTTTGAGGAATCCCTCCTTATTCTATTTTCCCTTCCCCCCGGCTACATCTTTCTTCCAATTTCCAAGTACCGCATCACTCCCTATTCCAGATCCTTAACAAAGGACCACCCCCAAGCTTCAGTTCTTTCACCAGAAGAGCCAGCCTTTGCTGACTCTTCATACAATTATCAAAAATCCTAGTGCCCAACTATCTCTACAATAACCTTTCCCAGCGATAAGCAATAAAGCAAACTATACAAATTTTTTGATTTCTCAGTGCATGTAAACTATTTACTGAGCAACAGCATTATGTCTAAAAATATATACCTTAATTAAGACACTTTATTACTACGAAGTGCTCACCATCACCTGAGCCTTCAGCAAGTTTTAATCCTTTTGCAATAGGAACACCAAAGATCACTGCTCACAATCACCGTAACAGTGATAATGTCTGAAATACCGCGAGAATGACCAAAATGTGAGACACACCAAGTGAGCAAATGCTGCTGAAAAACGCCAACAGACTTGCTCAAGATAGGGTTGCCACACACACAAAAACACATTATCTGTGAAGCACGATAAAATGGGGTAAGAAAATATTAAATAAAAGATAATGCCTCTACCTGGAAAGCCAGGTGGTCATTAGCTTGGTTAAGGGGGCTACCTAAGCTTGCATTCACTGAATTTAATTTACAAAAACTATCCAAGTACTGGCTCCTGTTTCAACTGTAAAGGGGCAATGACTTACACCTCTGGCATGTGAGTATATGTCCTGTCATGATACAGTGACACCACCCTACTCCCGCTCCCCAACTATAGGTTTCTTCATACTTGGAATCTCTTGGCATTGTCTACTCACTCCTCAATATGTACAATTATCCTATTTCCCAGACATACCAATTTTGCAGGAAGGGTTACTTTTATGATGCACTGGGGGAAAGGGGCAGAAACCTAATCTAGAATGAACCTCACAAGCTGACTGATGGTTTATAGAAAGCATTAGTGTATTCAGGTAGACAACGGAACCCATTCTCCATCCCCTGGGTGTAACATCTTGGCTTGCTCCGAGACTACTCTTTGGCTTTTAACACTTCGACCCAAGTTTCATTTATATTCTGTAGTCCTTACGCTACTTTACCTTAATTGCAGTGATGGCAAAAGCAATTTTCCGCCGCCCATCGATGTTGGTGTTGAGTACTCGCAAAATGTGCTGGAACTTTTCAGGAATTACTAGAGACTGAGAGATTGGGGGAGAAACCAGACACCGTCAACTACTGTCAACCCGTAACCTCAAACAAGAGCGTTAAGGTGGTCACACAGGCAGCAACGACCTCCTTCAGGTTTTCACCACACAGCGAACTCCTCAATCCTGCAAACCGCAGGAACATGAAGTGTTCAGGCTTGGGAAAAACGCAACCTTTGGGAGGGAGCAAGTCTCCTACTTGCTCCCAAAAGTACATTGAGTGGCGGAGGCCGAAGGTCCCCACACATGCCCAAGCCTTTCGCCGCTTTCCAGCGCCCGGGGAGTAACTCTTCCTCTGACACCACTCCCCAGAACTGCATGTCTTAGTCGTCCTTCTCCAGGGGCGCGATCCAAGAATCCACACAGAAAGTTGCGTGCCCCTAGAATAGGACGTTCTCGGCTCCCTGACAGCAGACCTTCCCTGCCCCAGTTCCGATGTCGCCGGATACCCGCACAGATTCCAATCTTACCATGGCGGCGGCCCCAGCGGCGGTGTGTAGGCCTCCAGTGGAAGAGAGAACGGAAGTTACGTAACAGCCTTTTATAGCTAGCAGGCGGAAGAGGCGGAGCGGTCTCTGCGAGGAGCTTCCGGAAACTGCACGAGACTTCTGAGAGTCCGCTCTGGGCACAACAACTTCCGGTACGGTCTCCCTTTAAAGTTCGTAAAGTTCTTGGGTGTGAGAGCAACGAAGGTTCCGGGTTGAGATCGTGCTTAAGACTTCCAATTCCCATTTACACTTGGGTGAAGCGGTTACACCTGAAAGGGGAAGGCTGGAGTCAAACAATTTAACTCAAATATCTGGGAACGATTTCGCGCTTTGCAAGACATTCCAGGACTTCGAGTTCCAATCCGCGGAACGGAGTCGCCTGACAGCTGCCGGAAGTGAGGCTGCGCGGAATGGCCGCTGCTGCGACCATGGCCGCAGCTGCCCGGGAGCTGGTGCTGCGGACCGGGGCCTCAGATATGGAGGAGGAAGAGGGCCCGCTGGTGAGAGCGCAGGGATATTTTTCCTCCAGAGGCTTTTCAGGCCTCCTCACGTCAGAAGGGCCTGGGTTGCGTGTAGGCACAAGGTTAGGAGCTCGGCTTCTACCGTTGATGCTACCTGGTCTGGCTCTTCATACCCCTCCCTGGGATGGACTGGAGCCCGAGCGGGGACCAGAATGGCCGAGACTCAGGTTCTGGGGACACAATTTCAGTTAACCTCCGGATGTTTGGGCAGAAGAGAAGCAATGTAGTGTAAAGGTTAAGAACATGGCTTCTGGAGTCAAACTGCCGGGGTTCTAATTCCAGCTCTGCCACTTAAACTTTGTGTGTCTTTGGGCACATTAACTAGCTTTTTTGTGCCAGTACTTTCCATACCTATGAAGTGAAGAAAATGAGACCTACTATATAGGGTGTCGGCTAGGAGTAAATGACTTAGTATATGTAAGTTGGCACCTGACATGCAGGTAAACACTGTTAGCTGACATTTCTGGAAAGGCTAGGGCTCCCCAGAGGAATTGTGATAGAACACTTAAGGTAGCAGGAGTCTGGGGATCCTGAATTCAACTGCAATTTCAGCTCTGTTCTCTGCATCTCCTAATTTTCCTCATTTGGTCACTTCGCCCCTTGGTGGGTTGCTTGTCTCCTTGTCATATTCCCTACACATCAGCCCCAACTAGTAGACTGGGTACCATATGAGACTTATGGGATTTTTTTGACTCAGTACCTACCTATGACCCTAGTAAAAGTCCCTCTCCCCAACTTAAAGCATTGGGGTTTATCCCATTATATTTTGTTCTCCCCCTTTCTTTCCTATAACCTGCCCCTCTCCAGGGGGGTGGTCCGGGTCTTCAGGAGCCATTGCAACTTGGAGAGTTGGACATCACCTCTGATGAATTCATCCTGGATGAAGTGGATGGTAAGTGTTGGCACTGGGTGGATGCAATACTTATAATCTGAGAGGCATAGGGGCCAGAAGTGATAAAGCAGGGATTGGTGTGTAGATGTTTAATGTTGGGAGAGGGAGCTGTGGAGCCAGCTGAACCCTTACGATAAACTTCTGTTTCCAGTTCACATTCAGGCAAATCTGGAGGATGAGTTAGTAAAGGAAGCTCTTAAAACGGTGAGGCTTTCCACTATACTAATCTGCCCCTCCACCTACCCTCTCCTCAAAGAAAAGAAAACAGTCTCTTGCTCTTAAAATGTCACCCTGTCTTACTTTCTAGTCCTTTGTTGATTCTGTCCTGGTGTTCCTTCGCTGACTCTCTCCTGCTGACCTGTAATGTTTATGTTCTCCCAGGGCGTGGATCTCCGGCACTATTCAAAGCAGGTTGAACTGGAGCTACAACAGATTGAGCAGAAATCCATTCGGGATTGTATCCTCTAGCAGAGGAAAAGGGTGGTGTTATTAAGATGGAGATTTTATGGGGTGTGGTGCTGATGTCATGCTGGGGCTTCCATCTTCTTTCTGAGGTTTCTGTCAGCTCGGGGAGAAATTGGAAAGGGCCTGCAAATCTGAGGATCTCTGTTTTCATGATGACACTCCTTGACTTTTGTGGGTCAGATATCCAAGAGAGTGAGAACATAGCTTCTCTGCACAACCAGATCACAGCCTGCGATGCTGTCCTTGAGGTTAGTAACCATGACTTGTGACCCCAATAACCCTGAACCAGATCATGGTCGCTAGTACCATTCTTTAGGTCATTAGCCTTAGGTGGGGACAGTTAGAGCCACTTTCAGGGTGACCTAAGCGGCTTTTTTGTTCTTGCTGTCATAACTAATGTTATTTGCTAGTGACCTTTGGGGTACATCTTCCCTTATGACCTGCTGCCCTCATAGACTGATAGATACTGGAGACTACCAAGAAACTTGCGTGGCCCACTCATCCCCTACCACCCCAATGGCAATTCAGCAACACTTCTGCCTTCCCCCCAGCGCATGGAGCAGATGTTGGGAGCTTTTCAGAGTGATCTCAGCTCCATCAGCTCTGAGATCAGGACACTGCAGGAACAGTCAGGCGCCATGAATATTCGGCTTCGAAACCGCCAGGCTGTCCGGGGGAAACTGGGGGAGCTTGTCGATGGCCTAGTGGTGCCCTCTGCTCTTGTCGCGTGAGTCACCAATCTGAAGGGTCATAATGTCTATAGTAAGTAGATGGGCTGGAGTGACCTACGCTGCTTACCCCATGGGCCTCCTGGCTCCCAATCATCAAGTGCCTTCCAAAAACCGATCAGTGGATTGACAACCTTTATAACCTTGACCTGTGCTTTAGGCATCAAAGATGAGGGATCATCCAGGGTCAGGCATGTAGTGAGGGGGTCCAAGGCTTACATGGGCAGTAGGGATGTGTATTTGTCCAGGAACAGAAAACTTTTTCTGTATGTTCCAACTACATGATACAGTGTAAGAATGGAGAGAGACGGGCTGGATGTAAGGGGTATGTTTTAAAGTCTAGGGATATCTGGGTCTCTCTCCTAACCCATCCCATCCCTCCCTGCTACCCAGGGCAATTCTGGAGGCACCAGTGACAGAGCCCAGGTTCCTGGAGCAGCTGCAGGAACTGGATGCCAAGGCAGCTGCAGTCCGAGAGCAGGAAGCTAGAGGGACGGCGGCCTGTGCAGACGTCAGAGGCGTTCTTGACCGGCTCCGGGTCAAGGTCGGGGGTGGGGGTGGATACTCCTGAGACCACAAGAACCAGCCTCCCTGAGATGTACACCCCTGGATTTCCCTGGCAGAGCTCATTCTCACATCTCTGGGTTTCCCTGAAAGTCATTGTTTTCTTTAATGGAGATACTGGGGATTGAACCTAGAACCTCGTGCATGCTAAGCATGTGCTCTGCCACTGAGCTATACCCTCCCCACCTTAAGAAATATTGAAGAGATATTCTCTACTCTTCCCCCTATATTGAAGATTTGTTACTTCCCTAATGCTTCCCAAACTGAGAAGGTTGCAGCTTCATGCCCTGTGTTTGGTCCCCCATGCCTAGGCAGTGACGAAGATCCGGGAGTTCATCCTTCAGAAGATTTATTCCTTCAGAAAACCCATGACCAACTATCAGATCCCCCAGACGGCCCTGCTGAAGTACAGGTCACCACCAGAAGGAAGGGCTTGGGATGGCCTCTGAGCTTTTGAGCAACCCAGCGTGCTGTCTGGTGTCTTGGGCAGGCAGGGAGACTGACTGGTCCCGACCCCTGCAGGTTCTTCTATCAGTTCCTGCTGGGCAATGAACGAGCAACAGCGAAGGAGATAAGGGACGAATACGTGGAGACGCTGAGCAAGATCTACCTGTCTTACTACCGCTCTTACCTGGGACGGCTCATGAAGGTGCAGGTGAGGCCACAGAGGGAGAAGTATTCCTGGGCACCTGGGCTGGGCAGAGGGGCAGCCACTGGGCAACGGGGGACACTATAAAGAGAAATTTTTTTTGTTGAGCTTTGGGAAGCTATGGTTACCAGTTCTCTTTTCACTAGTATGAGGAAGTCGCTGAGAAGGACGATCTAATGGGCGTGGAAGATACAGCAAAGAAAGATATCCTGGAGCTGAGGAGCCCTCATGCCAGGCCTGGGGAGTGAGGGGGCTCCTGGCTCCAGCCTCCAAGGCTTTGCTGCTTACCTTTTTCTGTGAGAACAAAACCTCTGAGAATGATTAAAGGCTGTGGCCACCCTCCCCAGAAAAATGCACAGATGATTTTGACACATCGTTTTGCATGTGATGTCAGGGGGTGTAGAGGGTTCTACAGATGTAGGTAAAATGGGGTCCTGGTACTGGGAAAGAGGGGCACCTAGGCTGTGTTTGGCTGCCAGGGGTCCCTGGAGGTCCTGAGTCTTTGATCTTCCATTACGGTTGTAATCTTATTGTTTTCCTTGACTTGGAGCCTTCACGATTCTTCTCAAAACCATCCCTCCGCAGCAGGAACACCATCTTCACCCTGGGGACCCGTGGCTCTGTCATCTCCCCCACTGAACTGGAGGCACCCATCCTCGTGCCCCACACCGCCCAGCGGGGAGAACAGCGGGTAGGGGGAGGAACAAGCTTCAGTCAGGAGAGGGACTCTGAGGCCAGACCTCAGAGCCAAGCCCTGCAGGCCCCTGTGTGAATCCCCTTCTCCAGTCACCCCAGTGTCCTGTGATGAGAAGAGGGTTGGGACCCTTGACTTAGGGTGTGCAGGGGGGGGAGGCTGGCAAGGGGAATGACGTGTCACGAGGCAGGTGTGAGTGGATGCAGGAGCAGCAGCTGCAGATGTGGTTGGGCTCTTTTGTCCGTTCTCCCCCGATGTCTTCTGTATCCATTGAGGATGCTCTTTCGCAGCCTGGACATGGCTTAGATGCGGAGGGTCTCTTGAGCTCTCAATACCCAGGTTTGCTGATTTTCTAGCCACATCCAGGGGAGTCAGTATTGGGGTCCATCCCTTCTGTCTCTCTTCCTAGTATCCTTTTGAGGCCCTCTTCCGCAGCCAGCACTACGCCCTCCTGGACAACTCCTGCCGTGAATATCTTTTCATCTGTGAATTCTTTGTTGTGTCCGGCCCAGCTGCACACGACCTCTTCCATTCTGTCATGGGCCGTACACTCAACATGACCCTGGTAAGCTCCCTAGGCCCTGTGCTCTTAGGCTTCTCTGTCCCCAGTCCTCGTCAGCACCGCAATGAGGTCATAGCTCTGGTGGTACTGAAACCAGGATCCCCTCGTTCCAAAATGTGTATGCCTGATACTGTGTGACTGTCCATCAAAGCTTGGGGTCTCTGAAGTTACCCCTCCTGATCCACACCTAGGCTATAGCACCTGAAAACTCAGGGGCCCCTTGGTGCTCAGTCCTGAATTCTGCTATGATGGGCTTGTGATCATAGATCTGGTGAGCAAGGCAGTGGACAGGGAAGGAGGGAGCATTTCCCTCTCAGATCTCCACCCACTTCAGGGCTGCATCCCTAGAGGAGCGTGTACATTTGTCTGTGGCCACTGGGAAGGACAAAGTAACAAATGCTCTCTTCCCATCCTCTGCCTGTTCCTAAATCACAGAAACACCTGGAGTCCTATCTGGCTGACTGTTACGACGCCATTGCTGTTTTTCTCTGTATCCACATTGTCCTCCGATTCCGCAACATTGCAGCCAAGAGGGATGTTCCCGCTCTAGACAGGTCACTGAATTCTGGTCCTTGATGCCCCACTGGCCTTGAACTCTTGGTCTCATACAAGCCTGCCCTGACCTTTGGGCTCCTCCTGACCTGACACCATTGACCGTGCTGCTTTCAGACTTACTGTTCACACTCACTCCTACCTCCACTAGCCGTTAACCTTTGATCAGGGTTCCCATATGCACACCTGACCCCTAGCCCTGCCCACCATCCCCCCATATTCCTTGCCGGCTGATCTCTGATTCTGATTAAGCCCACAGGTACTGGGAACAGGTGCTTGCCTTGCTGTGGCCACGGTTTGAACTGATCCTGGAGATGAATGTCCAGAGCGTCCGAAGCACTGACCCTCAGCGCCTTGGGGGGCTGGATACTCGGCCTCACTATGTGAGGGAGGGCAAGGGTAACAGAAGGGTTATTGAAAGGCAGGGCTCTGAGCTTCACTGTGGGGGTTGCCCAGCTTCACAGTTGAGTTATGGGCCTGGCTGGAAATTTCCAGGGTCCCACCCTGAGTGAGGGGCAGTCGAGGAGTGTGGTCAGACTCGGGGGTTGGGCACTGTTGGTAGGAGGGGTTGGAGGCCGGAGTCCCACAGAGGTTAGTTGGCCAGCTTCAACGGATTTGGGGGGTTGTGTTGGTTGGGCCGGGGGTTGGTGTGATTTTTCTTCCCATCTTCTTTCTCCCAGATCACACGCCGATATGCAGAGTTCTCCTCTGCTCTTGTCAGCATCAACCAGACGATTCCCAACGAACGGACGATGCAGCTGCTGGGCCAACTCCAGGTGAGAGGAGGGTGGGAGAGGTTTCCCAGGTGGGCTGGATTGCAGGGAAGGGCCACACACCCTTGTCCCCTGAGTCATCTCCCCCTTTCGGCTTTTTCAGGTGGAAGTGGAGAATTTTGTCCTCCGAGTGGCAGCTGAGTTCTCCTCGAGGAAGGAGCAGCTTGTGTTTCTGATCAACAACTATGACATGATGCTGGGTGTGCTGATGGTAACAGACCCCTTCTCCCTGTCTCCCTACCCAGAGAATTCAGGGTCCCCCCACTGCTCTGTGAACTCCACGAGAACGAGGATTATGTTGACCTCATTCAGTGTCTTATTCTTGGAGTCTGGCACAGTGTCTGGCTCCCACAATAAATGTGGAAGGAAGGGTATGTTCTAATGTGAAGGGCAGCTTCTCCCCAAACTTGAGATTTCCCTTTGTCCTCCCTTAGGAACGGGCAGCAGATGACAGCAAAGAGGTTGAAAGTTTCCAGCAGCTGCTCAATGCTCGGACACAGGTAGAGGTGTGGGGACAAGGAAAGGGACAGTCCTGTGTGTGTTTTTAGTTTGTGTGTGTGTGTGTGTGTGTGTGTGTGTGTAGGGAGTGGCAGTTAGTGGACTCAGATAAACAGAATTGGCATTACTATAACTTGGGTCACAACATGCTGTCATTATTGGGCTATTTTTATTTTCCTTTGTAATTTTTTTAGTGATGTAGACATCCATGAACCCACCACACACTTTGGCAACAACCAACATCGATGTATGAATTCCTCTTCACCCCATCTCCCTGCCTCTTTCACAGAGGGCACCTATGGGCCTAAATCTTGTGTTTCTTATGCCCTTGCTTTTAAAAATACAGGTATAGGTATGCTGAAACAACAATTAGTTTGGTTTTTGAGTGTCATAAAAACAGAATCACAGGATTATTTCATGCATAATTTTTCTAGTGTCATGTCGTTGCGTATGGTTGTAGCTCATTCTTTTTCACTACTGTATACTGTCACGTAATGTGAATATAACATGTTCTCCTGTAAGTGGTCATTTGTATTATTTCCAGTTTCTTGCTACCATGAGCATTATTTTATGAAGAATTCTGTCTTTGAGCACACAAAGGTGGTAGGTAAATTTTATCAAAGCTCTCTTGGAAGTAGGAGTAGGCTTGCTGCATATGGGATATGCCAGTGTTCTACTTTATGAGACAGTGTCAAATTGTTTTCCCAAGTGGTTGAACCAATTTATTCCTTATCTCATTGAGTCATATTTTCTCCACCACATGGCATATCAGACTATCTTTGTCATTCTGATAGGTATCCCATTGGGATCTTAATTTGCACTTTCCTGATTACTAATATAATTGAGCGTCATTTCAAATGTTAAGTAGCCATACACATTTTTCTTTTCTGTAAAACATCTGTTATAGTATTTGACCTTTTAAAAATTGGGTTGTTATGTTTTTCTTTTTGATTTGTAAGAGTTCTTAATATATTTTATATTTATCTACATAACCTTTTTGTTGATTATATAGATTGCAGATACATTTCCGTATGTGTTTTATCTTTTTGCTTTTTTTATGTTATCTTTAGGTGAACAGAAATTTCTAAGTGTAATATGATTGAATTTATTAATCTCTATTTTTATTGTCTTAAGAAATCTCTGATTACCTGAGTCAGAAAAACATTATACTATGTTTTGGAGTATGTTTGTAGTCTTAATATTGTAGAATTTTGCTTTTTACTTTTAAGTACTTTTGGAATTTACCTAAATATGCCTAGAATTTATTTTTGTGTATGATGTATGATAGGGATCTAACTCAGTTTTTTCTATTTGGATAATGATGGGTCCTGAACAATTTATAGGAAGCCCCTTTCTTACCCTGCTTGGTCGGCAGTCCTGCCTCTGTCACATAGTAAAACTCCACAAACGTGTATGTCTTGCCTCTATTCTGCCTATTCTGTTGATCAGTTTGTCTACCCTGCTGTACAGTTTTAATTATGCTTCTAGGGCAAATTCTCCTGCCTTCTTTTTCATCATTTTCTTGAGTATTATTGGCCTCTTGATTTTTCATGTGAATTTTATGATCCGCTTATAAGTTTTCACATTTAAAAAAAGCCCATTAAGGATTTTGGTTGGAATTGCATTGGTTAATTTGAAAGAATTGACACTTTATGATATTGAAACTTCCCGTCCATGAACATGGGCTTCCTCTCCATCTTTTAAAAATTTTATTTTTGCGGGGGCAGGTAGTTAGGTTTGCTTATTTATTTGTTTTTAGAGGAGATACTAGGGATCGAACCCAGGACGTCATGCGCGCTAAGCATGTGCTCTACCACTTGAGCTACATACCCTCCCCCATTTTATTTTATTTTATTTTATTTTATTTTATTTATTTTATTTTTATTTATTTATTTATTTATTTATTTATTTATTTATTTATTTATTTATTTATTTATTTATTTT